ATCTGATTCATACTCTTCCCCAGTCTTTTGAACAGGAGTAGAGGTTCATCCTTTGTTTCTTGTTTAGGATTTGGTTTCCAGTCACTTCTAAAGTCTACTTCAACTATACTTTTAACGTCTCCACCTGAACACTGGAATCTTATTTGCTAATTAAATCTTGATCTCTTCAAGTCAAGAATTAGCTGCCTATCTTTCCTGTTATTTTGCCCTTTCCTACGCTAATACAACTCTGTAACCCTCTACCTTTGGTGGCCCTTGGGCCTTGTATTAGGTGAACATTAGTAAAGAAAAAATAGAATAAAAAAAATAAAAGCTCATGTTTACAAATAAATTTATTCTAAATAAAATTGACTCAGTTTCATGTTTAGCAAATTTATAATCATGTCACTTGTTTAAGATTTTTGTTTTTCATTTCTTAAAAAAAAAAAAAAAAAAAAAAAAAACTTCAAAGAAAACAATATTTATAAATCTGTCATGCACTTCTTTCCCCATCTGACACGATATGGGTGGCAAGTGTTTTTTTTTTTTTTTTTTAAACAGTCAACTTTTGAAATTTTGGATAAGCAAAAGGGATGGAGAGTTAAAGATACCAATAAAGATCAGAGACTCATCATCACTGTCAAGTCAGCAGATATCAGTTAGTGAGCCATGCAGTAAATACAAGATGATTTTCTGTCTTCAGTTTCTCCTCTGCCACCCACCACTAAATATCTCTTGATCAAATGCAGGGGATCAAGAAAGATGTTCTGGGATTTTGTGTTCATCTGAAGCTAAAGGATTACTCATACGCCCAAAGGAGTGAATAGAAGGCCCTCCTCATACTATTACTACTACTATACAGCACATATGTATAAGAATGGGGGCAGTCAAATTTTTCTTCCAAATGGGAACTCCCAAAACAGAGAGCTGTTAGGAGGAGTGGATGTGACTCATGTTTCAAGAAAATTTTAGACAGCATTTGGAAATAGCTATCAATTCCTGTGGTTTATAAAAATATAACAGGAAAAAATCTCAGTGAGTTATCACAAAGATGTTTAAAAAAGAGATTAGATAAAACATTTTGCTGTAATGTGACATACAAAATAATTCTGTTATTCTAAGTTTCCTAGTGAAAAGGCAATTTTGCAAAGAAATATTTAACAGTCACTTGAGGTTTGGAAATTTAACATTTTACTTTTAATTTATAAAAATGGTAATATATATTTTTTCTGGCTTATATTATGAAATGGTTTGAACATAGATGAATCAACAAAAACATCTTTTATTCAAAGCTTTTTCTTACTAGCTTTTATATTTTGAAATTCATCCGAAGAAAAAAGTTGGCAAAAATATCTATGCAGATCAGTTTTCTGCTTTATCCCCCAAGCTCTGTTCAGTCATTTTAGAATATATTAACACACTCACTGACAACCAAAATTTACGAATATAAAGTAAGGGCTTACATTATGCATTTATCTAAACAAATTTCAATGATTTTAAATCTATACACTCCAAATTAAGTCATACATATGAACAAACATCATTTAAAATGGGTAATATTGAGATTTATATCAACATCAAACTACTTACCTCATCTTAATCAAGTTGAAACCTGTGCCTATGACATAAAAGGTGAGAATATACGAAGCATAACATTTCCTGGCATTAACACTAATAAAATCTTTTTTTTTTCTCCTATCCTTATGAGCAAAACTAATCAATTCTTTTCATGAGTGTTGATTAAAATTTATACATAAAAAATAATGCTATTTTTCTTTGAATGTGTGTGTGTGTGTGTATGTATGTGTGCACATGTGCGTGCATGCATGCATCCCCTAGGGGAAACTGTCATTAGAGCTGATGTGCTTTAAACCTAGCAGCCATGGTGATGACCAAGCAAAGCTGAATAGTGGCTTTAAACACAGATTTTTCTCCAACTCACAAAATAGACATATCTGCTCAGTTTCATATCCTGATGTAAACAAGGAAATTTCTAAAGAAAGGGAGAGATTTATTTTTCTTTTTGTTTGTTTATTAATTCGACAGATTTTATTAAATGTTACTTTTTAGTGTATAGTCATATTTGAGAAGACATTCTGTTTATTTAGCAAACAGTATATTTATTTATTTTTGTCTGGCCTGAATATGAGAAATCTTACTAGAGAAAAATATGAACTCTCCAGTAGAAAATAAATATACTGTTTAATAAACAAAGAGAACCTCTACTCAAATATGAGTATCTACTAAAAATAATGTTTAAGCAATAAAGTCTCTCAGATTAATTAAACAAAAAAAAACAAACAAAGACCCATCCCTTTCTTTAGGAATTGCTTTGTTTATGATAGATATATCTGCCCAGTTTTGTATCCTATTTTGAGAGTCAGAGAAAAATCTGTGTTTAAAGACACTATATATATATATATATATATATATATATATATATATATATATATATATATATATATATATTGCTACCATCTAGAATCATTCAATTTATAACCACAGGTCTTTTAAACGTTTCCTAGAAGTTATTTTTAATAACTGAAGAATCGTAGATGCTTTTAATTATAAAAAAATTTATAATTAAAGATTGTAAAAGTTTAGATATTAGGCTAATATTTAACTGGATTTTATAATAAACTATTTCTGACAAGTTAAAATTCAACAAATTGTAGAGATATTCTTTTAAAGTTTAAGGGCATTAAATATTCTTTCTAAATACTAAAATCTAATTTTCAGCTTGATATTTATAATAAAAACATAGCAAAAGTAAAACCTTAAGTTTCACAGTAGTTATAATATGCAGTTTCTATGATTTAATTACAAAAGTATATGCAATGAAATTTCTATTCCTTTGAAATTTTATCAAAATCAAAATGATGTGTGACAATTTTATAGATAAATCCATAAGCATTTTAACTATAGGAGGAGTAGGTAATTAAAAGAGGTAGAACCATTTTTAGAGCTAAGAATGTCATGGTTACACAATTCATAATCCAAGAAAAGTAATCAATGTTTGTGATAGGCACTTTGTATAAAAATGTAGGACCAGGCAAGTTTGGTCTTTTATTGAAAGAAAGACAAAGGTAAACATGCAAGCAAAAATTAAATTTAACAAAAATATTGGCTCAATCATTTCTAGTGCTTTCAACCAAAGAAATTAATAAACAAGATGATTTGGTGAAGACTATATGATGACCTTCAATATTTCCATCCCAAAAATTGCGATATATTTCTCCATAAATGTAAGCTTAACTTTAATAGAGTAGTAGAAATGAGAGGTAATAGTATAAATAAGAGACAAATACCACAAGATAAATCAACCATAGACGTTTTGCTTGCAAAGGAAATAAAAGATAACTCAAATTGGAGATTAAGCCTTCTACAAACAGTTATAAAAAAAAAAAAAAAAAAAAATAGAAAAGAAAAAGCAAATTTAGAACAGATTATTTTTTTCCTCTTTGTTCAATTAAATGTAAAAATCTTTATATTTATCAAAACCTATACAAGTATTGAATCTGAATTTGCTTTTGAATTGTTCCTGTTCTGTTTTCAGAGTTCATTTAAATCAACTTTAGCCAATTATTGAACATTACTAACAGAAGATAAAAAAAAATTTCAGTTACAATCACGTTTAAACAATGCAATATGAAATATTAGAATTTTATCCTTGACTACCAAAATTAAAAATCACAATATTGTCTTTAATTACAAAAAACAAAAAACAAAACAAAAACAAACAAACAAATCCAACTGAGAGTTCAAGACTTTAAAATATTTGAATAAAAAATGATGGAATGAGAGTGAAAATATATTTTCTTAAAAGTTGTCACTATTATTTGCAAATCCACTTCTGATCAGATGTAAAACATAAAAAAACTTAATTCAACTAGGTGAATTTGAAAATATTCTAGATAGTTGTCAAAAATTGTCCCCATTTTGTAATGCCATTGTTAAACTTACTTAAAGTGAGACTGAAGAATAAATAAGCTAGATAAATTTTTACTAAAAGTGATGTGAATTCAAAATAACATTTAAGTCAAATGTTAGTCCACAAGTTTTAGCCTCAGTTTTAAACAAGAGAAAACTATTGTCCTGAGAATAAGAATGAGTATAAATTTTCAACAATTTTATATTAAAAACAATCTTTTTTTTTTTTAAACAAAGAGCAGAAATATAACTGACTGAAGTCTAAGCTAAAATGGTTAGAGGGAGAGGTGCTTCTATTAACATCAGCTTTGAAGTTAAATTATTCATTCTACACAGGATATTATACACTCACAATTACCAAGAGAAAGAGAGAGAGAAGGGAAAGTTTACTGATGCTTAATGGATTTATTCTAAGTAGCCTAAACATATTTAGTTTTGTCACTTAAAGATTTTTCTTCAAAGTGAGGAAAGAATAGGGACATCTAATTATTGCAATCATAGGATTACACCATAAATTCAAACACATCTTCAGGCTTAAATTCTGAGAATGGACAATAACAGGAACAAATAATTTATAGAATTTTTTTTTAAATATTGAAAACTGAAAGAGAAAAAAAACAAAAAACAATTACTGAAATACAATTTGCTGGTTTGTTTGTTTGCAGTTATTTGAAAGCTTAAAAAATGAAAATATTTAAGACAAAATCTTGTGCAACCAAACAAGTTAATTCTATTCAATTTCAAATTGTAACTTGTAAAAATCTAACTTAAAAGAACACTGGTTTTAATACATTTAAAAGTATCAAATATTAAGAGTGTTTTTCAATTTCATGTCTGCATGAATAAATTTAAAACAACTATTCAAGCCTTTCTTCATTACTTGGAAAGGGTAGGAAGAAGTGCAAAAAAAATTAAAGTAACAGTAAACTTTGACAAGATAGAATTAAGCATTTCTTCTCTTAGCTGTTTTATAAGTGTTGTATACTTGTGCATGAAAGTATCTTGTGAAATATTATTGCTAATTTCTACATTTCTGTTTAACTTGTGTGTAAACATTTTTTATATAATAAATAAATAAAAAGAACACTTACTTGTTAAATAAATTCAACCCAATTCTATACAGTCGCTTCCTTTCCCGATCGCCAATCCTAGTCATGTGTTGGTCATTTGTGACGCTGATACGGATTTTTCTTTGATAACTTATACTATTCTCACTGCCTATACTTATGTTTTCTGAACTCACATTATCTGAGCTGGGGGAACTTGAACACTGGCCATCCAGACTTTCTGGCTCGCTCGTCTCAGAGATGTTGCTCATTCGCTTCACCTCACCTTTGTTTACAACTGACACAGTCGAGTTGGCAGCACTCTTTCGCTTCCAAATCGGAGATGCCTCTGGCCCTCGGTGTGAGATCACACCTTTCTTGTCTTTAATATCACGTACGCTGCCACTGCCACCACCACCACTACTACCACCACTACTACCACCGCCACGTAATTTCACCCTTGTGTTCATGTAATATTTTATAGTGTCTTCATTCAGGGTCTTCTGATCGTCCAGTCCGGTGTCCTCGGGGGAGGCCAGATCAACTTTGATCTGGACCTCAGAGGGGATCTCCGAGACCCCCGACTCCGGGTACAACCTACCCATACTATCACAGGACCCATGCAGATCTTTACTAACCACATTGTGCAACCGGGGCTCGAGTTCCATTGACAGAGACAGGGCTTGTGGCTTATGATGGCCAATCAGGGACCCAGTCTCCTGGCTCCCATCGCTATGGATACTGTCACTATGGAAACTATCTGTCAAAATGTCTGTCTCTTTGCTCTCGAGCAAATTTTCAAAATCTAGGCTATGCAAATCAACTGTGCTCTCCACAGGTGTTGCTTGTGGGGAGTCACTGGCACTACTGTCATTTAGCTCTGGGTAAGAGTTTCTATTGTTATTTGTTTCCGCGGCGATGGAGGCAGCCAGCTGGGCACTACATTTCTCTTCTCGCTCCTCCTCCTTCACGTTTTCGGTGGGAATGTCCGTTAAATCTATCTCCATTGACCTTTCCAAACGCCTCCTTTCCTTTCGTTGTGTCCGCTTGAGATTGTCAATCTTCAATGAAGGGTCCAAAGACAGTTGGTGGTGGAGTTTGTTGTCCAAGTTCTTTCGGGATTCAATCTCTGCAATTCGCTTCCGCACATTCTCCTGTGACAATTGGTCAATCTTTGAGTCTGTATTCTGCAATGCTGTACCTCCCATCGTAAACTGCATATCCGAACTTATGCGGTCGGTCCAAACGGTATTACTCCGTCCAAGTTCGGATAGCCGTTTGGACAATCGACGCTCGCCGACTGAGTTTCTCAATTTCTCAAAGTTCTTATTCATACAATATTTGCGGAACGCTCTCTGGATTATTCGCGCTGCTCGTCGAGATCGTATTGTTCCCCCATATTTCCGCTCAAGCATTTCCAGCTGCTTTTCTTGCAAGTCTTGGGAGAGCTCATAAGAGCTAGACTGCACACGCGACCGTTTTATCAGTTCATCATCTGTTCTTTTGAACGAGCGTTGCCTTTGAACCTGCACCCGCTGGACATTGGTTGCTGCTGTTGTAGCTGGGGGAGGGAGAGGGGTGGGGGCGGTGCCATTGGGGACTGCAGCACCAGCAGTCGAGCTGTTTTGGTTAATTCCCTTTGGGCGGCCAAGCTCTTTGCTGCAGTTGTTTCCACTGGCAACAGGATGTGTCTTTCCTTGAAGTAGGTCTTCACTTGACCTGGTGCTTGTGACACTGCAAAGAGAGAAAACAAAAAAAAAAGAGGAAAGAAATTAGAAAAAAAGCTGCAAATATTAACATATTTTACTATATTTATATGAAAGAAAATATAAAATATTTGGGTTGTAGACATACAAATATTTGTAACAACATCTATATTGGTCATGCAGCTCAATTTTTGTGTTAAACGAATCTCTTATGTTTTAGCTAATGATTTTTATATTTGATAAGTTACGTTTTTTTTTGTTTTTTTTTTTACTGCAAACAATACTGTTCTTGTTTAAGGCTTTACAAATTTGAAGATTAAATATTAAGGAACAGAAAATATTGGATTGTTCAAAGTGTGGAAAAACCCAAAGTAAATGAAACACTAAGTCCCAAATTTTTCATGGTTTTCATTTTTTAACTATATCCATTTATATTGTTTAAAACATATGCAAAACTCACTAGACTTTACTCTGACTTGAACCTAAAAGAATTATGGTATTGTAATTAACAAAGGAACAGTTTTAATAAAAATTCATATATCTTTTTCACAGTATAGAAAAGCAAATCAGCAATAGACAACTGCAATTCAGTTTTGTTTCTTGTAGACACGTTCTGTTTATGTTTTTTTTTTTTTTTAAATAAATAAAAAATATTTTCAGCATTTTTGTTGCATATTAGTTTAATTGAGCAAAAAAAAAAAAAAAAAAAAAAAAAAAAATTTCCACTTTATTTAATAAGAAATCAATCTGAAATTTCATCAAGTACTAAGCAGATAAGCTCTACTTTTTCATGATAATGTGAGGAAAAAAAAACAAAAAAAAAACTCAGATTTACTTTTATTACTACATTTACACAAATTATGTAGAAGGTAGCATTAATTCAGATGAACACAACAGTTGCTGGGCAATTTCAAGTCTCCATATTTAAAAAAAAAAAGAAAAAAAAAAAAGAAACATTCTTATCAAAAGGTAAGAGGTTTCAAAGTGTTACAGTTTAAAAAAATAAAAAAAAAAAATTAAAAAAAAATAAAATAAAAGGAAATGTAGAAATCAACAAGATTGTGACTCAGACTTTAAGAAGTTTAGCTCATTGATCTTGCATAGGTTTATAGAAGAGATTTTTCATATGATAGAAAAATATCTGGATGAAAAGATTCAAAAAGAGTTTGTATTCTTTTTGACAGTATCTTTATAAAACACAACAACTATTAAAGTTAGAAATAGGTTCAGCATAAAAATAATGATTAAAATATTTTATCATCTTATTTGATAAATGTTAATTTGGTCTTCATCGCCATCCCAGAAAAATATCCTTCCAATGAACAAAATGCTACTAACCTTGCTGTATACAATTTAATGACCTTATCACTGTTTATGTTTGGGCACAACTCTCATCAGTTTCTGAATTTATGGTTTAATTACATTTTTAAAAAACTCACTACTGTCAAATATTGATAATTTGGATACCTAAACTCCAGGTAAAGTATTTGACCCTTATTTTGTAAGTGGTGGATGTATAGAAATAAAATATAAAAATATTATTTCTTTAAATGTTGTTGTACTTACGAAATACTAATAGTGTATCATAAGTGACAGATTTTCATATAGATAAAAGGGGACAATAACAATTTTATTAGGGTTATCAAATGAGTCAATATAAAATTCCAAGGCAAAGCAAAAAAAAAAAAAACTGCTTCAGTCCATCTTGACGACATTTGCAAGAGCTAGATAATTAGAACAATTAAAAAGGCAAAGGATTAACGTCGAGGCCAGGCTACCCTCCTTTACTAAACATTTGTTTAAACTGCTTAATGTATGAAAAATAGCAGATATAAAGATTGTTTGACATTTCCTGATTTTTATAAATTTCAGATCCTAAAAAAAAAAAAAAAAAAAAAAAAAAAAAAAGAAGATATCTCAGTACATAAGGAGCACAACTAATGAACAAAAATAGAGGAACAACAATAAATGAGGGAGGGGGAGGGGTAATCAACAATATGTGCACACAAACACTTTTTTTTAGAGTAAAAATAAATGCATGTACAATTCAGACAAATCTGAAAGAATTGCTAAAAATTAATATTGCAGAAAAAAAAAAAAAAAAAAAACTATCCAAAAGAAACACACAAGAGAAAAGTCTCCTTTAAAATAAAACATTGTGTTGACTGTACTGACCCCCATTGGTCAACAAGCCTCCAGATGGGCCACAGTCTGTTTACTGCATTGCATTCAAATCTTATATTTTGGTAGTTATGAGATTTGGTCAATCTTGTATACATAATATATAGATAATACCTAATAAATATTTACATGACATTGGATAGACAAGCAGACAAGAACAATTTAGATGAGTGTCCTTCATAATTTGACAATGTGTATTTTCAGTTTGCATAATAATTGAGATGATAAAGATTTTCAGTGGACATGGCTGAAAGAAACACTGTCTCACATGTTATTTTGATCTCATAGCAATGAATACACACACACACTCTCTGGAGGAGAAAACAAAACCAATGTGAACGCTAATTTCCTATTAAGCAGAAATGGAACTCATTTTCTCAAAATGACCAGTAAAGTAAAAATCAAACAATTTAGTAAAAGTAAATTTGACTCTACAATTACATATGTGAAAAATTACAGCTTTATTTTTTTTTTTTTTTATTTTTTTTTCCAAGTATTAATTTAAAAGCAAATTATAATAGACCAAAAGATCATCATCACCTGAAAACTTTCTATAGAGTTAAGGGCTGTAAACACACCAAAAAAATGCTGCTACAATAACAGCATTTTTATGAAACCAGTTCAATACTTAAGATGGACTTATTTACAGGGCTAAAGAGCTCCAACTAACCTAATGTCCAGACATTGGGAAGTACAGTCATACCACTTCCCAGGGGCTTGACTGCAAAGTGAATGCCAACTACTCCAGTTGGAATCTGGTTCACTAATTCTAGTATCCATTAAGCCATTTGCATCTCCTTACACGTGTCAAAAAATCTTCCTTGGTTTATGCCAATTCTCAATATCTATGATTTTACAAGTTTAACTGATCATTTTGAAGAATTCCAGCACAGTGGGCTGGAGGCTGAAATTTTGCAAAAAATTAAATTCCTATTCTACCCAAAAGGACTTCATTTCCATAAACTAAAAATTCTTTAGGTATCAGAAAATATTTCAAAATGCCAAAAGTCAGACATGCATAACTATGCATTTTCTGAAAATATGAGATGAGAGGGTGCAGAAAAACTCAGTTTCATCAAATCTGGTCTTTGGTATTTTAAATTAATCAATTTCAAATTTAGGTGCACAAAAAAAAAAAAAAAAAAAGTATCAGCTCTCTTGAAATCAAAAAATTTATCTGAATAGTCATCAACAAATTTTTGGTGCCAAATATGCCTCCAAAACTTAAATGAATGGTTTATTGGCCTAATTCTTACTTAAAAGAACTCAAAAATGGAATTAATTTTTTAAAAAATGATTTGGAAGGTTAACTTATGAGAAAAAAATTACCAGAAAAATCCTCAAAAAATGCCATGAATCTGTTGAAAATAACCAAGTTTACAGAAGTGAGGTCACAATAATGGAGAGGATATATCTTTGTTATTCTTCTATGGTTTTAATATGAAAGCTATATATTTCACTAGGTTTGCCTTTTTATTTTATTTTTTACTATATTTCATGGTCATCTTCTACAAAACCTTCAAGTTTGGTTTCATTTTCATTGTTTCACTGTCTAGACAGTGTCAGATGGTTTCATTGTCTAGACACATCTAGACAGTCATGTCTGTTTCAGTTTTATTTTCATAGTTCAACTTACTTTCACTCTCATTTAGTTCATTTTATTGTAAAGATTTCAAGAAAATGCTTCTAACAAGCTCTCACTGATGTTTTTACCTTTTCTCCAAGTCGAATTGTGTTTTTGGATCTCAATGCCCAAATATGGAAATTCGGTTCCAGACCTCCAAACTTTTTTTTTTTTACAATAATTTTAATTTTATTGTAAAGGCCTCACCGAAACGCTTCTAACAAGCACAAAATCATTATCAGACTATAAGTTAAAAGGCAAGTTATGCCTAAATTTAAAAAAAAAAAAAGAAGCTCCCTAGCCCACTGAGTTGAACATGCAATTCACGATTTTTATGTTAATTAAAGATGTACACAAAGAAACTTAAATGGTGCAGAAATAATTTCTTTACAAAACCTTGAAGATTAACTCTCAAATTAGAGTTTTGAATTAATTACATTTTCAAGGCCATTGCCATGATATCTTGATCAGATATCAATTTGCTTTCAATATTTATTAATATTCATAGATTTTGATGTTCATTTATATTGAAACCATAAGCCACATGGTTTTACCTGCAAAAAACTTTACAGTTCTGATCAGCTGTTCATTAAAACTACAGATTAAAATGTTTCCATTTGTTGACATCGGGTGTAAAACATTGCAATTTATTAATAAAAATTTGCTATTTAGATTTGATGATGCCCTACATCGAGCGATCATTTACTCAAGAAAAACATTTTTTCTTTTTTTAAATATTGAAAAATTGATAATTAGCAATCCTTTAAAACAAAGTTTAATAATATTTATTCATTTACCTGAAATAAACTTTGAAAGACTAATTCAAATTTTGATTTAATTTAAAATCTTACACTAATTCTGTTGCATATATGGACACTATTGTCTGAAGTTAAAAAAAAAAAAAATCAATAAATTTCTACAACAATCAACATTTTTTCAAACTTAGAATAATTTATAGTTTTAAATCTTTGTATTAACTTGTACCAGTTAGGTGATACAGTTATTAAATAAAAACTATATTTACTAATCATAAATGGAAAGTCTGACTACAATTCAGTGACCCAATATCTTAAAGAATTTTTGTATGTGCGAGCATATATATATATATATATATATATATATATATATATATATATATATATATATATATATATATAAACTTGTTGATTTTCCTAAATACAAAATGTTCATAAATGACATTAGAAAATAAGAGCAATAATTAT